AAGACAACTCACAAGCGGACTCACTGGCAGTTGTTGCAGCTGTTGCTGTTGTTGTTGTTGTTGTTGCTGCTGTTGTCGTAGTCGTAGTCGTAGTCGTAGTCGTAGTCGTAGTCGTAGTCCTAGTCGTAGTCGTAGTCGTAGTCGTAGTCGTAGTCGTAGTCGTAGTCGTAGTCGTAGTCGTAGTCGTAGTCGTAGTCGTAGTCGTAGTAGTTGTGCTACGACTACGACTACGACTACGACTACTACTAGTACTACTACTACTACTACTACTACTACGACTACTACTACTACTACTACTACTACTACGACTACTGCTACTACTGCTACTACTACTACGACGTGTTTTTTTGCAGCAGCAGCAGCAGCAGCAGAAGCAGCAGATGGCACTAGCAGTATGAGTAATGCAAGGACTACTTGTGGCACTAGTAGGACTCGCAATACTTGTAGTACCGTCTGTAGTAATACCCCTGCCGTCGTCGTCGTGGCCTGTCGTACTGGTAACGGTAGCAGTAGCAAAGCAGGCAACAAACCATGAGAGAAACAATAAACATTAGATATTGCGGAAAGTGGCAGAAATAATCCCCACCACGAACAATCATAATGCAGCATTCCACATCATCAAGACAACCCTGTTCCAAAAACTCAACCGCTAACTATACCTCTAGGCCTCAAAAAAACACTGACTGAGCGTGCGAGGCGCTCATAAAGGTTCTGCTGGAACCAAAGTTTGGGGCAACTGGCACTGTTGAAGGAGCAGCTGAAGCTACTTGACCCATTCCCGCCACCACCTCCAGAGTCGGATGTCGGAGTGGTGCACCCTTAAAGGAACCCTTAGAGCAACCCTTATAGGGCCCCTCAAGGCTCCGCCTTCTCGGCGTCGAAGTTCGGCCCAGAGCGGGTGCCGGGCGCGGGACCGGGTGGGGGCCTGGCGGGGAAAGGGCCGTGGCAATCGCCTAAAAGTAAACGCTGTAGTTTAACGGGGTCTGAATAATTGCCAGTACTGTTTTGGGGGTTCCTTACTCTAGTTGTAGTTTCATATACTCCAAGACCCTGTTCTAATTATTGAGGCCCCTATATTGTGCTTCATGCCGCTCCTCCTGCGTTTGGCACTTGGGAAACACGGGATCCGGCGCACGGCAAGCCCAGCCCTGAAAAGCGAAGATCACGAAGAAACGTCCACGAACGGTTTAGTGTTCAGGGTTTGGGGTTAGGGTTCAGGGTTTGGGGTTTAGGGTTTTGGGTTTAAGGTTTAGGGTTTGAAGCTTAGGGTTTACAAGGGCGACGACAAGAGTTGCTGCTCATTCCGCCGAACGAAGCTTCCTGGTAGCAGATTCCAGCGTACTTCCTACTGATAGTACGAGTATGTCTCCAACAAACCCTAAGCCCGAAACCCTAAACTCTAAATTAAAATCCTAAACCGTAAATCCTAAACCCTAAGCCCGAAACCCTAAACCCTAAATGCCCTAAATGAAGCGTGTCTCACAGCCTCGCTGCCCCGCTGGCCCCGCTGGCGCCACTGGCGGCACCCCTCGCCTTGGCCATTTGAGGACTACTCGAGGATCACTCGCTTCGGGCTGCGTTCCTAGGCAGTCCGGATGACAAGCTGCGCTTCAGGTGCTGCGCTCCCACCTGCGAGCTTTTGCTGTATACAGCTTTGGGGTTTGGATACACCTCAGGGCGACGTGAGCTTGCGGTCACCCGTCTCGATTTGAGGAGGTCGACCACCCTTGAACCTGCGCAGAACCCAGGACAAGCCTAGCCACTTCCTTCTTGCGCTTGACCTCGAACACGACCTGCCAAACAAATATCGACTTGCAAGGAAGTCGGGTCGGGAGGGTAAGTACTGAACCGAGCTTTTCGTTAAAGTCACAACCACCAAGGCAACAGCTGCGATAAGATCTATGGCAGTAAGCCTCATCGTCGCTGTCATCATCATGCCATTCAAGTTCAACGTCAAGAGTACCTTGACCAGGCTCACAGCCACCACCATCACCGCCACCACCATTCCACCACCATTCCCCACCACCACCGCCACCATTCCACCACCGCTCCACCACACCACCATCACCCCACCACCACCACTAGTAGCACCATAAGCACCTCTGCCGCTCCCCAACCCGACTGCTGTTCCTGACTCCTTCAAGTCATAGAGCTGTGATTGGTCTTTTTTCCTCATCGTAGCAGTCGTCCGACTGCCCACCAACATCACAGCAAAGAGAATAAGTCTCAAGCCTAAACATGCCGCTGGTGACCCTTCGAACTCCCATCCCTGAGCCTTGAACCCTAAAGCCCTGAACTTCTAGACCTTTTGCTTTTCTTCCGAAACACCGAACCCAAACCCCAAGCAACAAAACTCCCACATCCTGAGCAGGCCGAAATCCTAAAGCCTAAGCTTCTAAACCCTAAACGCTAGACTTCTACCTCCTGAGCCCTTTACAACTTCACCCTCCTAAACCCTAAACCCTAAACCTGACTTTACCCTGCCTTCTGCAGGTCCCTAAACCCTAAACCCTAAACCCTGAAGGCCCTAAACCCCAAACCCTAAAGGCACTAAAGGCCCTAAACCCGAAAGGCCCTAAAGGCCCCAAAGGCCCTAAACCCTGCCTTCTGCAGGTACTCCACCCGCTCTGTGAGGCTCAGCAAGCGCCGGCAGATGGTCTTCCGCCTCTCACGGGCCTCGAAGAGGCCTCCGGGCCGGGAAACGCCGTAAGTAAAGTGGACCCGAAAGCCTTCGGGTTTCGGGTTTCGGGCTTAGAATTGAGGGTTTCGGGTTTAGGGTTTAGGGTTTCGGGTTTAGGGTTTAGGGTTCTCCTTGTTTTTCTGGGCTCACTTCCCCTAAACGGGCTGGGCAGGGCCAAAGCTGAACCCAGGATGCCCTCTCTTGTGAAGAGCCAGGTGCTGACGAAATCGGGTGCAAACACGGAATGAAGATGGCTGGGCTTAAGGGCTTTGGTGTAAGGGCCTCAGAGTTCTTTACGAAGTTCCAGGTATAAGCCGAAAGAGAAGAAGAAGCAGGCGTCGACTTTCGACCCCATAGGACCTGCTTTACAGGCCGTGGTGGTGAAGAGTGTTTTTCAAAAACAGCAGTGCTTTGACTGCCAGGCTTTCCGGTGACCCGGAGCCCGAAATCAACCAGAAGAATTGCCCCAACGCTAGCCCAAAAGCCCTGAGCTAGATAGCGCTCAAACCCGAAACCCTCGTGTGAAGCTGGGACTGTCCAAGCTGCGCTGCATGCCCCCCAATTCGCCGGCCTCGCAGCGTCACGGGGACTTTAAGCGCCCGGCAAGAGCCTCTAGTGATTCTTCCGTGGATCATAAGGACCCTTGGCAGAGGATAGTCTTTCAGTTGAGGGCTATGGGAGGCTCTGAGCAGCATCTAAGGACAAGCGCAGGCTAATGGCGTTGCCGGGTCCGTGGGCTTAAGCGGCTCACCGCTTCGAGCTCCGGAGAAGCCCAAAGCGAACCAGGCAACCCCACACCAGGAAAGCTGTCACCGCAAAGTCGGTGTAGGGTGTAGGGTTTAGGGTGTCGAACTCTAGCAGTTCACACCTTGACCCTATCAACCCCCAACAACGCAGTGGAGGGCACACGCCTCAAACCCCAAATCAAAACTGGCAGATCGCGCGACAACCCCACAGTCACAGCATTAGGAACCACCCGCAAACGATGAAGTCCGCAATCATAACAAAAAACATATGCTACTATGTTTTACCAGACTGCACTACTCTATACTACACTAGAGTTACATCAAAACTCTGCTGTTACTAGTCCTATACTCTGTTTTAAGACTACACGTACGCACACCCATACAATCAGTATTCTGTATATCCATATCTTCATATGCATATACACGCACAGAGAGCCTACGTCGCTTGTATGTACATACGTATACATGTGCACATTGTATGTGTGTGTGCATGTAGATATATATATATATATATTTTATATTTATATTTATATTTATATTTATATTTATATTTATATATATATACTTATATGATTGTATTTATTTGTTCATCGACGTATTTATACACATACATATACATATACAGCATCATATAAAAATACATATTATGGTCATATACAAATAAATATACATGTACATGCACATCCACATGGTCGAAGACTTATACATATGCATATACATGTACATACACATATACATACACATCTGTACATACATTCCAACCTACACATCCATTTATCAATCTAGTATGATTACATGCACCTGCCTTTCGTTCATGTATGTATATATATATATATGCATAAAATTTTATAATGTATGACATAAATATGTATATACATATATATATATATACATACAATGTATATATATATATATACATATATATATATATACACATACATATATATATATATATCTATATATATACATATATATATTGTAAAGAAACACATGCATGCACCTGTGCCCAACACTTCCTCCTCAAACGGGCCTTGTCCCCTCCGTTGCGGCAGAGCTCCGCCTTTCGTTCCCAGGCCGCCGCTTCGTTCTTCAGGGCCTCCGAGAAAAGTAGTGGCTTCTCGCGTTTAAGGTTCAGGGGTTTAGGGATTTAAGGGTTTAGGGTTTAAGGGTTTCGGGGTTTGGGGGTGTAGCGGCTGAGGGGTTCAGCGGTTTTAGGGGGTTTGGGGTTTACAGAAATAGTGAGCTAGGGTGAGCTTTTCTGGTGAAACCAACTGGGGTTTGGGGGGTCCTAGGGCTTGCGGCTTGAAGCTTCGAAGGTTTGGCAGGGCCATGGGCTTTGAGTTCGCCCGGACTTCTGGAGTGTGGAGTTTCAAGAGTTTTCGGGTTAGGGTTTAGGGTTTAGGTTTTAGGGTTTAGGGTTTAGGGTGGTTCGTGGATGGTTTTGGGCTTGGGGGGATGCTCAGAAAGCCTACTGGGAGCACTCACGTCCTCTAAACCGAATCAGCTGCCTCGTCCCGGCCCTCCATTGTTTTGAACCTTCGCTGGATCGAGGCTTTAGATTTAGGGTTTAGGGTTTAGGGTTCAGCAGCTCCGGATCGAGCAGTTTTATAGTACAGATACATTATAAAATAAAAAGTTCGTTCTTTTTACACCAACGACTTACATTCACATAGCACATCACAGCCCTGAACCCTAAACCCTAGACCTTAAGCCCTGAACCCGGACCGAGAGCTGCACTTCGTTCGCGGTTTTTGATCAAAAATGATCAGAAACCACGAAAGATAATAAGGTTTAAATACATAATGATAGAGAGTGTTTAGGGTTTAGGGTTTAGGGTTTAGATTTAGGGTTTAGGGTTTAGGTTTTATGGTTTAGATTTAGGGTTTAGGATTCAGGGTTTAGCACTCTTTGCTGCCCTTCACCCCAAAACTCTGAGCCGCCTCCCCAACCCGAAATCCCAAACCCTAAACCTAAAAACCTAATTAAGCCCTAAGCCCTAAACCCTAAACCCTTAAAACCTAAGCCCTTAAGCCCTAAACCCTAAGCCCTAAACCCTAAGCCTCAAAACCTAAACCCTAAACCCAGAATCAAGCCGGACAAAAAGGCACAAAACGCCAGGCCCAGGAGCTCGAGTTGAGCTTCCTGAAGCTCTTTCTCCGGGTCCCCGCCGAAGGGGCTGCCTTGGATTCGGGTTTAGGTGTTCGGGGTTGAGGGCCTAGGGTTTAGGGTTTAGGGATTAGGGTTTAGGGTTTAGGGCCTGGGGTTCAGGGATTGGGGTTTAGGGCTTAAGGGCTCCACTTCACACTTCATAGCCCATACCCGAATTCAACTGAAATGGCAAGCACAGCGGCGACGCGCAGTCGCCGACCCATCTTCGCCGAGGCCCTTCTCCAGGAATTCCAAGAGATCCTCCAAGAGCATACCTGGGAACACCGTCAGGCCCCTTCCTGATGGCCTCTTCGGTTACAGCGTCTTCCGGTTCTGTGAATAACGCGTGGAATTCGTATGCGTTTGAACTGGTTGGTGCGGCCGGCATGGACGGCATGGCAAGATTAAACCTGAGTCCAAGCCCCTCAACCTCAACTTGCTTCTGGTGAGAGGTGTCGATGGAAGAACTACCTTGATGCCGGCGAGAAAACCCCGCCTGAACCCCAAATGACCCCTAAACCCTAAACCCTAGACCCCAAACCCTAAACCCCAATCTCGACTGTCAATTTTCGGCGCAATTTTCATAAGCCATGCTCTCGCAGAACTCTTTCCCACAAGTGTTTTTTTCTGGGTGAAAGAACGACGAACACCGAACCCTGAACCTCGTTGTCTACAAATCCTCTAAATCATGCATTCTCAACCCCACTGTAAACCTCACACCCATTAAACTCACCCCTTAAACCTCGACACCCGAGAAACCCTAAACACTAAACAGTCTAGCCACATGTAGTTTCAGAATCCGGAAGTCGCTCTACAGCAGGGTAAGACTCTCGCACGCTGCGCGTTTCTGGATCCCAGATGGCCAGAGAACCCTAAACCCTACACCCTTGACCCGAAACCCTAAAACCAAAACCTTAACCCTAAGCCCTAAACCCGAAACCCTAAACCTTACAACCTTAGAGCCCTTTACCCCGAACCCGACGTGCCCCGAGAAACTCCGGGGGTGCCACCTCCCGCCTTGGTAACTCGTCCGATGCGGCTGCGATCCGAGGCCTCGAGCGCGGTTTAGGGCTTAGTGTCATTTAGGGTTTATACATGAAGAGTTTAGAGTTTTGGGTTTAGGGCGCTGGAGGACAGGTAAAGGATTGATTTGTTGTTAGGCCTTTCAGGGTTTAGGGCTCAGAGGTTCCAGGGCTCACCGAAGCTCGATAGTGAGTTGAACATGAAAATAACAAGGACAAGGTCTCATCGCAACGTTGCCATGGAAACTATGAGGACAATGGCAGGGAAGAAGACCAGCATGTCAAAAAGGATGATGCCGTGATTTTGCAGATGAAGTTGATTTTCAAGATCTGGGTTGTGCAAATGACTTGACAATTTAAGAATGCTTCGGAAGAAGCTGCTGCCGAGAACGAACAGGAGTGATGACAGTGATGACTCTTTCGATCGTCCCCATCAGAATCATCAGCATCATCGACTGAATCAGGACCATGTATCAGTATGATCCTGTCGACCATCATGCGAGGCCGGTCATACTGATAAGACCAGTGTTGCCATGAGCAACGTAAGACTCGTATATTCTGTGTAGAAGTGCGCAAGGCATAGAACACGTTGCAGAACGAACAGGGGAGAAACAGAGAAATCGCATCTCCAGCAAGAATCATGGTCCCGTGCACAACAACGGAAAGAACTACATGGCAAAGGACAACAACGGCGCAGCTTAGGTACCGGGGATGTATGCTCTACATGTTTCAGATATAGATTTTAAGTATGTCTTTTGTAGAACAAGCAACAGTTTATGCATGTTATGCAAACCTTAGTATGTGACCATGGCACGGAAATACAACTCCTGAAAAGACACGTCAAGTTTGCTGCTACAGATCGACGGCTCTGCTGCCTTCACTGGAAGCCCTGCAAAATAATACAGTATAATACAATACTTTACAATATAATACCATATATATATATATATATAATACAGTTTAATACAAAATAATACAATGTTATTGCCATATTGTACAATATCATACAATTACAATAAAGTATACGTAATATGATATGATATAAAGTATGTTTAAGGGTCAGGGTTTGAGCTCGGGCCTAGGGATGCAACCCCAGGCGCAGAGTCTGCCACACTCTGGAAGAAGTCGCTGAAAATGGCGCTGAAGGAATCGCCACCGGTGTCATACCTCGGCATAGGGTTTAGGGCTTAGGGTTGAGGGTTTAGGATAGAAGGAATCACCACCAGTGTCACCCAGAAGTCTGAAAAGAAAAGGAGCCAAGGCTACACCGCCAGACCTAAACCCAAAACTTAACCGCCTCAACCCCCAAAAACAAACACTCAAAACCTAAACCCGCCACCCTTAACCTGCAAGCGAATCCACTGAATACGCGACAAGCGAACTGGAGCTGCCTTCGACAAGAAAGTTTAGGGCTTAGGATTCAGGGTTTAAGGTTGAGGCTTCAGGGAATTGGGGCTTTACGGCTTTAGGATGGGGGTTAGAGTTCTGGCTGAGACATGAAAGGGTTAGATCCTTGTTTCCCCTGTCCTTCAGGCGTTTCAGCCGAAACAAGGAATGTCAAACACATGCAGGATACCCTGAAGTTACAGCTCTCAGGAGAGATATGTCGAGAGAGATCGCAACCAAAGCCTGAATCTTAAACCACCTGCCCAGATAAACCTAAAGTATCCTGATCTCAATCTCAACCCTAAACCCTAAACCCCTAGACCCCTAAACCACAAGCCTGCCGCCTCCAAGTTCCGCAAGGCGACTCCTCTTCCATCGCCTGGGTTCGTTGCCAGCGGCCCTGCGAACTGCGGCCCGCCTGTCCTTTCGAGAAGAAGAGTTGGGTGTGTGGGGTTTAGGGTTGAGGGGCCTGCGCCAGAAGCCTAAACCCTACAAGGCCCTTCAAGGGTTCATGAAGGGCTGTAGTGTGAAGAGAGCCCCGAGGACCACGAATGGAGAAACACAAGGAGACAAGAGACGTGCAAAGAAGCATGCGTCGTGGTTGCTTTGTCAACGGGATTAACTCGATCGTGACTCGTTACAACAGCAATCATGCAATGAAATTGCTGGCCTAAGTTTCGCTTACTACCGTTGATCTTTGCGTCTTCCTTGCTAAGAGTGACAGATACCATCATATCTTGATTCAAACCTCAATCATCATGACAGTCATGACCATCACAATGCTTATGAGATTGCCCAATGCATCCAGACGACTCATCATCATCATCATGATCATGATGATGATGCCCTAGACCCCGATTCTCTAAACCCCAAGCCCTACCCCTAAACTTCGAACCCTAAGACCTGATAAGACGCTAAACCCTAGGACCCTCAGACCCTAAGACCCTAAGACCCTAACGCCAGACCGCGTGCACCGAGAACTTGAGAAACTTCCCGACGAAATGTTGAGGATCCTGGGGGAGCTCGGGCCGAGACCGGACATTGTGAGATACTCGTGCTTGATACATAGACTTATGCTCCCCCATATGATGTAGCATCGGTGTTCTTCTTGGACCTTTTAAACAGCTCCTCTACTTAAGCTTACAGTCAAGGTTCCTTTTACGGGAATCTTAGAAGACGGGTGCTCGAAGGGTTCCTTTAAGGCCAGGTCGCCCGTGCGGCGGCCCTGGGCTTCGGCCCCACGCTGGGCCCCTTGGCACCGCCGTGAGGTTGTTGGGCTTTGGGGGGGGCCTTAAGGGATCGTAGGGGTTTAGGGCCTTTGGGTTTTAGGGTGTAGGGGTTCAAGGTTTAGGGTCGAGGGTTCGGGTTTTGAGTTCACCTTTTCAGGTTCAGGGTGTAGGGTTTAAAAACTTCAAAGGTTTAGGGTTTGAGGATGAGTATATGTACCTATATATTTACATGCACATGTACATGTATACGTACATTTATACGTATATATGTTTGTATATGTATATGTATATGTATATCTGTATGTATATGTATATGTAATTATGTATGTGCATGTGTATGCATATGTCAAGTATGGACATGTACATGTACATGTACACGTACATGTATAAGTCTTTGCATATGTGTATATGTATAGGTACATGTGTATATATATATATATTTTTTTATTTATGTACATGCATATAACTCTATATGTATACACATACATACATAGATCTAGAGCGCCAGGTTTCGAGTCGAAGTTCCCAGGTTTGGGATTGCTTCAGGTCTGAGGCCAAGCGACGCTCCCAGGCCCGCAGCTTCTCCTTCGGAAACTGTAATGGTTGTCCCCTCTATCGCCGTTCTATGGGGGCCTTGAGCTTTCGGGTTCAGGAGGTTTAGGAGTTGGGGGTTTAAGGTTGAGGGGCCTACACTCTCCAACTTCCAGATGGCGAAGGGCCTGAGGGGAAAGAGATTTGAATCCGAGACTGCAAGGTCTGAGAACTCGTGCCTGCAACATTGAGCTTCCTGCGTTTTTTGGGCTACGGTAGTGCTGGTGCACACCATTGTCCGATCACGACTCGGACCAAAAAAAAAGAGGGCAAGTCTGTTCGATGGTACTTGGAGTTATTTCGTTCTATGCAAGCTGTTTGATCTTAGGCTGGTTGGATAGAACAACGCGTATCTCAACATCAACCTTGACGGCTAAGGACCCAGCTCAATACCAAGGTGGTCTTGGCGAATCAAAGTCCATATGCTACTCTTCCTGCTTCTACTGCACTTCTGCCCAGACCGGTGAGAGAGCAAAAGCTGCCGAAACCTAAAGAAGCGGAAGCCTCAAAGCCCAGAAGCCAAGAGCCCTTAGAGTCCTTAAACCAAAGCCCGCCTAACCCTGAAAACCCAACACAAAAACCCTAAATTTTGGAACCCTTAAACCGTAATGCCTTTGACCGCCAAGAAGCGGGGTCGCTCAGCGCGTCGTAGGCTGCGGAAAGCTCCTCCAAGCTTCATATCTTCGGAAGGAGGGGCCGGAGAAATTCACTCGTTTCTTCATCTAGGCATGCAAGGTTCAGCGTCTAGGGTCTGGGGTATGTGAGTGTGTGTGCGTGTATGTACGTATGTATGTATATATATATATTATTTTTTTCTGCATATATAGACAGACAGATAGATAGACAGACAGATAGATGGACAGATAGCTAGACAGACAGATAGCTAGACAGACAGACAGACAGACAGACAGCAGACAGACAGACAGACGGACAGACAGACAGACAGACAGACAGACAAATGAATGGATAGATGGGCAAATGGATAGATATGCTTCGGGCTTGAGCTTTCCAGGCTTTTGGTACAGATGCCCGTATCTACTTTGTAAGTCTCTGCCTAGAACTAACGACCTGATGCTGCAGTTTTGAACAAGGCTTCGGTGTGCAACATTGTGATATACAGCGTCGGAAGCGCTTGCTTGCAGAAGACGGTGTGGGATGTTTACTGACGATATGCTGCAAGATTTATCAGAGGTGACTCGCCTGCGAGCTTGCACCGTCAGTTTTGTTCGTCCTGGCTGTGTCTCTACTGGCTCAAGGAGGCCCATGATTTTCCTGGCAATTATGTCGCTGCGGACCATTTGGCCTGCTTGCTCCCGTCTTGACAACCAGCACTACCCCTGAAGCAGTTGCAAACATCGCACATCGAAAAATGACCTGAAGCGCCGCCCTTCCCAATGCACAGATCAGGAGTAACTGAATTCAAGTAGTTCAGCAGAATCCCTGAAACATGTGTAGAAATTGCTTGGTGTTTTCTTCACCAAGCGATAAAAAGAAGCACACTTCTTGGAGAGCCTAAGTCTGTGCATGTCTTCCTGCCACCGCTGCTTAGCATCAGGCAGCTTGCTGACATCGGGATGCTCCTTCCTGAATGAACAGGCATCGAAACCGCACGACGGCATCTGAAATTCCATAATTATTACTCCTGACCAAGTCTTACTTCGGCTGCGATTACCAATGCAACGATTGCCAATACAGGCTGGCATGTCAAAGATGGCGATGTGAAACACAACATCACGTGTGGTTAATGTCATGCCGTCGTCATCATGGTCATCATTAAAACCATCATCATCGTCATCGTCGTGGCCAACACGGACGACATCGCCAATGCCATCACGGTCACCATCATGAAATCAAAACATCATGAAATCAAAACCCCGCAGCAGCCGCAGCAGCAGCAGCGGCGGCAGCGGCAGAGGCAGTGGCAGCGGCAACTGCAGCGGCAGCAGCAGTCACAGCAGCAGCGATTGCAGCATCAACATGATCATCAATACTGCCAACACGGATACTCAGGCAGCTGATGAGGTAAGCTTCCCGCGGACCCTGCGAGAAAGAATCGAACAATCCTTCTAATCTCTCAACCAGCGGTATCCAGCGGTGGTCATTCCGAGAAACACAAACTTGAAGCAGGAGCGTGAGTCCTGATGTGGCTGGCAGAGATACTATCCCCTCATGCCCAATTCTACGCACCTCTGGAAAATAGAAATCACAGGGTAGCCCTCAACCCTAAGCCCTTCTTTTCCTCTAAAATCATATTTTCCTCACGCTGATGTGCGGTCCGAGCTTCAAGGCTTTGCGGCGATATGCACGTTTGATCTCTGCTTGAGTGGCTCCGGGCGACACCTCTAGGGTTTAGGGTTTAGGGTTTGCTGATGGACGGATAGACTGTGCTATGCGGCCTCAAACTAAGAAGGTTGTTGCGAGCTGCAGGTACTCTGCTGTTGCACACCTGTGCCTTGGCCTGTCATACTCTCCGAATCCCTGAGACCCAAGAAGTCAAAACACCGACAAGCAAGGCCTGTGTCCTAAGCTCCTAAGCCCTGAACCCCTAAACCCTCTAAACCCTCTAAACCCTCTAAACCTAAACCCTAAAACCCCCAACAACCCAGAAATCCCCCAAAAATTCCGACAGACAAAGCAAACCCGGCCTATTCTCTTTTCGCAAAAGCCGGGGGACTCCGAGGATCTCCCAAGGACTGCCGCCCAGCGCCCTGAGGAGTAGCAGCCGTCGACGTCGTCGTAGCACTAGTACTAGATCTAGTCGTAGTCGTAGTAGTAGTAGTAGTAGTAATAATAATAGAGGTAGTAGTAGTAGTAGTAGTAGTAGGAGGAGGAGGAATAGCAAAAGCAGCAGTGGCACCAGTGGCCACAGTTCCCGTCTTTTTGCGTTTACTGTAACGGCCCGAAGCGGGGGCTTCCGAAAATAATGGACCCTAATATAGTACCCTACATAGTAGGATCCTCATTATAGGGACCCCAAATTCAGCTACCCCTTATTTTCGGAAACTCCCAAGCTCTCCGACAACCTCGGACCCTGCCTCCTGGCCACGGCGGGCTTCCGGGCCTTCGCGGCGGCCCAGCAGACCAAAGTCCCCGAAGGCGCCAGGGCCGCCCCAGAGGGCGCCGGGGAGGGCGGAAGGGAGCCTAAGATTGTGAAAAAGCGGTGTGCTAAGGGCTGTGATGATAAGGGCTGCAGAAGGAAGGGTTTAGGGCTGTCTGCTTGGGAGAGTACAACGAATTAAGACTTGAGCTGAAGTCGGATAAGCATGTTTGATGATGCAAGTGAACATGATTGGGCGGCCCTGCTGCTGTGCGAGCAGCAACGTAACCATTCGGATGATGAAACGTCTTGTGGGGCTGTGAGTGCTGTTTTTCTTGTGTTTCTGACGGTGATGCTCTTAGCAGTATCGATCAAGATTGAGGTTGGCCATGAATATAGACATGGCATTGCCAGTTGAACGGCGATCATAAGTGCGAACCCAATTGCGACCAATGCCGGCAGGAGATCATGGTCTCTGGTCGGCCAGGAGCGCAACACGGTGTTGCTCTCATGTCTTCTGACTAGTGACTAGTGACTAGTTCGTGTTGCCTAGGTAAGCCACGAGC